TTATTGGACCTATTTGAGAATTGTCTGGGCATGGTCCTAATATTCTGTTGAGCATGCGTGATTAACTTTCCACAGTCCAACACTCCCAATCTGTCATGCCATTAAAGCAGAGTTAAACATAATATGGGGAAATATGGGGTTAAACAGCCTGTACACATACAGGTTGTGTTGTAGACTATCTCTGCTGTGTTCATGGTTCATTAAAAATATTATCCAGCTTTTATAAGGCAATGTCTTAAATATGGCAATGTTCTTCTTTATTGCAGCATGTGCATCCAGGGAATGCTTGTATCTATGGTTGAATGAACAAATGGAGGAATGCATGGACAGCCGGATGGATGGACAGACGACAGGCAGAGAGATGAGCTGCTAGGTTAGCTTTCACTCGATTGTAGCTTTCGCTTGATCAGGTTTTCTGACTCAAACACAGACAGACTGAAGGGGGACACTGTCTTGTTAAACTGTGAGGTCAGGACAATCAGCCTTGTGACTGAGGAGGGTACAGCTTACACATGCACTACCTAATATTAAGACTGCCCAGTTTACATTGAATAAAAAAAGAATTTCGGCAAATGCACTAGCCATTTAACGGGTTAGGATCAGAAAGCTATTCAAAGGACATTCTTTGTACATGGATTAGGTGTGCCCAGAGGAAGATTAACCTACTCATTAAAAAACACAGATTTAGGTACCCTGGGGCTTTAAGGCAAAAATGCAGGTTGTTATTCAGTGACAGAAGATACTTCAGTCACCTGTATGATGGCGGTTAGACAGGCCAAGGTGCCTGATATGCCCAGGCGGACCTCGTTCATCTTCTCCTCATCCACTACAGTGGCATTGAGGGTGGCATTGAAATGGCTAAAGTCTGACTCTGGTGCCAGCCTCAGACACACCATACCCACCATGATACTCAGCACAGCAAAAGTGCCTATGTGAATAAAGAAAATCTTATAACTTATGCAGAATAAAACATCAAATAAATATTATGATGATGCAGAGAAAATGTATGGCCCAGGTCAAATTTATCAGCACCCTAGAAATCAATAAATTTGGCTACGTGATTCACTCATGTCTTCAGCTAATCTCCTAAATGAATATTTAAAAACTTACCTGGCACCATTTGGTGTGCTGTGCCCATGAAGAAGTATGGAATGAGAGGGAAGAAGGAAGAATAAAGCCCATTGACTGGGGGGAGGTTAGCCAACAGAGCAAAGGCCATGCCTAAATAAAGAAGACGGATGCTGGTGTAAATCTAATTAATTATATAGATGACATGATATCAATTCCATATCTGAGTATTACAGGAAAGCATCATTATCACTCGACTAAACCTCTTGTGAAGCAGGATCTGACAACCATGATTGTAGAAAGAGTGATAACACGGTATTGTATCTAGCTCAGTTGCTTTTCACTTAATCTATAAAAACGGCTGTTCGTGCTGCACTTTTAGAATAAGCAAATAGATAAATGGAAAATACCAATGTCACCTGCTCAACTGGACATACTGCACACTGTCTCCTGCTCTACTAGACATACTGCACACTGTCTTTTGCTTTATTGGACGTACTGCACATTGTCTCCTGCCCTATTGGATGTACTGTGCATTGTCTCCTGCTCTACTGGATGTACTGTGCACTGTCTTTTGCTTTATTGGACGTACTGTGCATTGTCTCCTGCCCTACTGGATGTACTGTGCATTGTCTCTTGCTCAACTGGATATATTGCGCATTATCTCCTGCCATACTGGACATAGTGCTCATTGTCTCCTGCTCTACTGGATGTACTGATGTGCGTAAGTGAGACACACCCTGAGGAACCTGAATGGTGCCTGCGCTGACTCCGCTGATAACATCAGTCAGGAGGTTCTGTCTGAAGTTGTATTTGGGTAGCCAGCCGAGCACTGGCAGGTGTCTGAAGAGAAGACTTTTCAGCCGCCCACTGGAACAACTGCATCATTTACGGGTGCGCACGTGCACACGCACACATACACACACACAAAAAAATGAATATAGTTCAGAATGCCCCAAAATCTCAATAAAAATTCCATTAACCCATCAGTGGGTAACTACATAACTTATATATTAGTTTCATAGTAGTTACTCAGTAGTGACTAAGTAATTCATTGTAGTTACTGGAAAATAAACCTTAAGATTAATTAAAAAAACCTTCTTCCGTTTCAGTTCATGGTCCTGGTCATATTAAACATGATTCACCATATCTTTTCATGTAAAAGACAAAACAGACTTTTGCCCACCTCTGGCAGTGGGTGGGGAAAAGTAACATAACATTAACCAATAAAGTGATGTTTTACCTCACGCCCCCCAAACACACTTTTGATTAAAAGTCAACATAATCTGTATTTCACTCAAACTAATATAATCAGTAGTGCCCTAATTATATATCACTCAGTAGAGGTGACATACCTGAAGACCTTCTTTACTTTGTCCCCCAGAGGAAAGCTCCTCGTCTTCCTGTCAAATTCCTCATCAAATTCAGGTTGAGAATATGCTGGCCGGTTTACTGCATAGCGAGGGCGAACTGCTTGCATTGTGTTGGGGAAAACTTATAGCCCAGAATCATTCACTAATTTTAAGATATAATAACAAAAATAAAGTGTCATTGACACAGCGCTCCGAAAGATGACTGGTTCATGCACACAGCAGTAATAGAGTGATATCTGAATGTAGGGATGCATTTAGTTAGATGGTGAACCAGTGGATGCCTTCCTGACTGTCAGTGTAGAAAGTGTTTTTCTTGCATGCTGATAAAACCTCTTTTGTACAGCATTGAAAGTCCCTTATCTGACCTTGAGTGGATTTGTTTGAGGAGTACTTAAGAACAGCATGGTCAGGCCCTATTTGACTTTCAACTACACAAATAAATTTTTAAAAATGCAATTTTAAAAATCTCATAATTACTGTTCTTTTAGGAAAAGCATGTCAAGGATGGCATTGTAAACTATTATTATAGAATACATAGGTTCACATACATATGGATATATGCAAGTAAACATGATTAAATTTAGTAAAAGTGTACAGGAAATTTCCCACATTTTGAAATTACAAATGGAACCATTAAAGAATAAACAAGCTCCAATACATTGTATCCTTTACATACCTAATTCTACTACTATTAATGTTGTGTAAATTATGTACCATCAGTCACCTAGGCCAAAGACAAAAAGTTGGTTCTTACCTGTTTCACAGATGTTCAGTTTCTAAACCCTGCACTTTAGGTGTGAAAATCAGAAGCTTAGAGTGTTTTTTTCAGATCATTGCTTTCTTGAGATTAGATGCTGTTTTATACTGGTGCAGTCATACCTGGGGAGGAGCTTAAAATGGTCTTGCACATTAGCCTTATTTGCAAACTGACTTACACTGGCTTCCTTTTCTTTAGAACTCCAATAATTGGAAATGACCCTAAATGTTCAAGATTAAATGTGTACATCATTTGCACATGAGTAGAATAATCTTGCTGTAAGAACAATACCTTCTATCTCCATAAACAGTTACTTTACAGGCGATGAAAAAACAATTTTAACTTATAATGAAAGTTAAAGTAAGAATATTTTTTTATAAATAATTTTGGACTATTTCTATTAGATCATTCGTCATTATTTTTTACACTGTAAAAAACAACTACTGTTTTCAAATTACACAAAAAATAAACAATAAAATTGGAGATGCAGTTTTGTTCTGACAGTAACAATAAATTACATCAACACAACACTCCATTTGTTCCAAAAAGACAAAATTGTGTTGATGTTATATATTTTATTCATGTAAATGATGTACACATTTGAATCATATAAATTCAATGCGGAATATTTATTAATGGTAATAGTGAGCAGTGACATCTGGCCAGTTGACAAAATGGAAAACAACTGACATAAAAAAGGAAAAAAAAGAAGAAGAGGTAAAGTGATTTAACCCATTTACTCCCAAAGGCTTAAAAACAAATCGATAAATAATTGGCTACAGAACTTGTTATAGCTCAAATTTGTTTTAGTATGCAATAAGACTGGCATTTTAAGGGGTTAACTGATGAGTTGTATCCGGTTTGAGATGGAAAATCCAAAATGTGCAGGAATCAAGTCCTTCAGGATGTGGAGTTCCCCACCTCTGACGTAAAGTGGCTCTAGTGACACTGAATCATTACTCCAATTCCACACAGCCATTGACACATCCATATACAACCTTCTGCACTCAATTCTGGACATTTAAGCTCTTTAATGGGTCTATGTGCGCTTTCACAGAGGTACAATTTAAAAATCACAGGACAAATAATGACAAATATAGAACTGGATAACTTCCTTGTGGGAATAAAAAGAAGATTCTTATGTGACCTTGAGTAATTTATACTTCCAAGTGTACCACACACACAAACACACTTGGTGACCTACAGAAGACTGCACAGCAGTTTTGGGTATCTTCACCCCAAAACATACTCATACAATGTGGCATCAATGACAAAAGCCCATGTTTATCGACTGTCTCAGACAAAGAGAATTCACCTAGAATGAGGAACATTTGTCTATACAAATGTACTTATAAGAATGTAAAAGCCAAAAAAACATACTCCTAGCACTCTCTTGTTCTGTATGATAAATACGGGTCGAGGCAGACATTCGTGTTTGAAATACATCATTGCACCAGCTTGCTCAAACTGCATTTAAACAAAAGAAAAGAAAAAACAAACAGATTGTTTGATGTCACATTTCAAATGTTACAATGTTGTATTGTAACAAGTACACGTGTGTCTTTTAGGGGTAGGTGACAAAACATTGTTGACATAAGACCTGAGCAGGAGCCAGGCTGGTGATTTTTTTTAGTGGCTTTTGTTGTCATCTCACTCCCACTAATGGATAAAATATAGAACTGCGTAAAGAGATATTGCTCAACTTATGCTCATGGTCGATGCATATTTGACACATTAAAAACTACAGATTATGTAAACTGTGTTCTTGTAAATAACAATAAAATACATTAGAATACATTAAATCAAAAAATGGAAAGTCCACAGTCAAAGATGGAAATTTCATGACTATCGCAAGCTTTTAGAAACAGCTGCGTGCACATCTTTAATCAGATACTCTACCAGGCAGATCCTTGCTATACAGTTGAAGAACAGTTAACAAGTACCTTGTGACATTCATATGTAGGTTCTCTCAAGTCTCTCAAAAGCTTTTAACCCACACTTTTATACAATGTCAGTCATTTAAATATCATCTTGCATTTAAAACAATGTAACAGGAATGGGTTGCAGACAGTTTCCTATAGGACCGATTCGTGATCAGAGGAAAAGTTGTACAGTCCCGGGTGTTTGTGGTGAAAACAGAAAGAGCGTTATGACAAAAGACATTAATCCACTTCTTCCTGCCTGGCAAGCTTGATCTCTTTCCACCCACCTCATGACTGGCAGGTAAAGCCACCAGTTGGCAACAGCAAATCCATTCAGTTCCAAAGACATAGCCAATCAGAAGTCACTGAGAATGCTGATGTCGGCAAACTCCTGGCGGTACCGATAGGAATACAGGCCAAGCAGGAATGCCCACTTAAACGTGATGAAGCTCCAAACGCAGCACAGATAAAAACTCTTGGGGTCTGTCAATGCTGTGAATAAGAAAAGGCTGAATTACCTTAACTGAACGCTCACAGTTTCAGATACAGTCAGAGAACACTGGTGTTTCAAGAGATAACATTAACTTAATCACAAACTCCCTTGATTGATGTAAGATAGTGACCTAACTAAAATCTTGGGTAAATACAAAGTAAATACTTAACCTGGCTGGTATTGGTACAAAATTCAATACTACAACATTTTCGGTATTTGCAAGTTAATGAAACCCATGTTTCCTGAGTACTGGCAGCCTTGTCTGTGCTAAAAGAAAGTCTTCTTCTAATCTGACAAGCTTGTCTTGACAGGTCTCTTTTGTTCCCTAAAAACTACACAAAAGGGAACCTTACATAGTCCTGCAAACATTAACCAGACAATAAGCACATTTGTAGAAAGGAAACTTTTAATTTTCATTCATTTTTATGTATTTTTAACTGAACTCTAACTGAACAAAACAAGCTGAAGCAACTAGTAAATTAAATATATTGCCACTGTATGGATACCATGAGTAAAGCATAAAATGGAATGAAGCAGAATTTTAAAAACTAAAAACAACCCATCCCCATCAGGGACACCATTATTTTATGTGCATTATATCATGGATATAATGCCCAATATCTGTTAAAGGTGCAGGACTATCCTGACAGCATGTTGAAATACCCATACAAAACTCACCTTGCTTTTTAGTAATAGCAAGTGTCATGAAGGTGGCAAAAGCAGCAACAGCCAGCATTGAGAAAACTGTACTGGCAATTATGAAGAGCTTGAGTCCCTTTAGCCAAGTGCGCCAGAAGTCCTGAATGTACATAATGTGTGTAACCAGAACCCAGAGGGCCAGCACTCCTGCAAAAACACATACACACTCACTGTACATCACACTAACATCCTTCACAGCAGTCACTAACGGACTGAATGTGCATTTGAGCTCATTATGGGACACAAAGAGCAAAACACAACAAAAGCCCAGTGTTGAATTTAACAACCACAGTGCGCCTTTCATTCCAGATCAACACAAGGGAACACTATGAAAGGTAAACATTGATTTTGCTGTGTATAAACTTAAATAAGTATGAGATGAATGTATTTCAGATATTCTGTGATACAGGTCAAACCTTGCTTTGGGCTGAGGTCTGCTAAACAGCTAAGCTAACTAAGTGGTTTTAATTGTAATGACTAAGTCATGCCATGCTAACCGTGGCACCTTGTCAGGTTACGCTTTTCTTTCGACAGCTAAATTCAAATGACTTTGGTGTGCAGCTTACCATTTTCCGCAGCCTATTTGTGCTAGCTAGGCGCGTTAGCCGACTACTGGTGAACGAATATAACGGAAGGGTTTGTTTTACAAGTAAATGTCATGACGTTTCCTAACATTATTAGCAAACTGAGCATAAAAACCCAAATTCTCTGGCAGTTGTTTAGTACCTGATAACCCGCCCATCGCCGCCGTCCATGGCTGCCAGTAAACCACGTTCCAAACGATAAAAGCAGAAAGTCCAAATAAGACGCCAATTGAGGCATAGCCTACACTGATGTACGTCCTGTTCGGTCCCATTAATGTTGGGATGCGGCAATTTGAGAGCCGAAAAAACAGGCAAACGGTTAGGAAAAAAGCCTGTGAGCGGATTACAGCGCTGATGATTACGTAATAACACAGGCAGCTCTGCTCATCAATATGATAAGACTTCTTCATGCCTTCCTCGAGCCCCAGCTTGACGCGCATAGCGCCATCTAATGTAAAAAATAATAGTAACAACAACAACAACAACCACAACAACAATAATAATGATAATGATAATAATAACAACAATAATAATAATCAGGCCTACTACATACCTCCTGCACTCTCAGAAAAAAATTATAAAACTGGTACTGGGGTACCTCTTGTCACTGTGGTGGTACCCTCAAGGGTACATCTCAGTACCTTTAGTCAGGGAACACACACCCCGTCTCGCCTCCTGACTTTTTGTTTTATTGTTCTTTTTTAAAACATTAGGTTATGAAAAAGTACAAGTGTGTACTTTTTACCTGGGAAAAACATATTTGAAATGCACAATTGGACCTTAAAACCACTGTTGTACCTTTGAGGGCACATTTACATTGTTTGGACCTTGATGAACGAAAAATATACCTGCACAGTAGCTTTATTTGTAATAGCGTGTCATATAACCCTAATCATTTTAACTTAAAAAAAACCAACAATAACAACATACAAGCCCTGCCCACTGTAGCCTAGAACAAGAGTGAAGGTTTGAATGTTTGTGCAAATATACAGTGTCCCCAACAATGTATGTGGACATTTGTGCCATACTTGCATTAAGGTTTTTGCTACTGAAACTTCTAAAGAAAAAAGTCAAACCAAAGCGCATTTATTTTAAACAGATCAATTTAAGACTGTAACTTTCTTTTTGGCAAAGTATTCCCATCGAAAGCAGTTGGTGTGTTTCAGGTCATTATCATTTGAGCAGTTTCTTTGCAGACCACTGCAGGTTTGCCTCCAGAATGTCTTTGCACACTTCTGAGTTCTTGATCCCCCCAGTGAACACAAGCACACCAACACAACTGTAAGAAAAACAGCCCCAGACTGATGTTGTGCTAAAAACTGTTCTCTGAAACTTTTTTCTTTATAATTCTTTATAATAATATAATTTTTCTTTATAATCCTTTATAATTTCTTTATAAAGTAACCTAAAATATTAATGTTTACTTTTTGAAGTTTTATATTGATGTATTATTATGGAAATTGTAAAAAACTAAAAAAACCTTTCTTGTAGTCATAAAGGAAGAGACTTGATTGAAGAAACTGTCTGTCATGCAGTTCAGACACAGACTTGCATGATGTTTGTTTCCTTTGTGGCTGTTGTAGTTGTCTGACAGCTCAGTTCCTGTGTAAACCACATTATGTGCCCAGCAAAGTATCAACTTCATAAGCCCTAAGACCTGTATGAAGGCCCACACTTTGTTCTTAACTCTCATTACTATATAATCAATATATAGTTTCATACAGAATAATTTTTTGAAGTTACCGAATAATAAGTTAAAATGAATAACTCAGTAAGTGTTACTGGTGAACGAATATAACAGAAGGGTTTGTTTTACAGGCAAATGTCATGATGTTTCCTAACATTATTAGCAAACTGAGCATAAAAACCCAAATTCTCTGGCAGTTGTTTAGTACCTGATAACCCGCCCATCGCCGCCGTCCATGGCTGCCAGTAAACCACGTTCCAAACGATAAAAGCAGAAAATCCAAATAAGACGCCTATTGAGGCATAGCCTACACTGATGTACGTCCTGTTCGGTTCATTCAGACTACCTTAAATGAGAAATTCCCCAGATTTTTCTACATTTCTGCATAATTAAATAATTAAGATTTAATTAATTGTTCAGCAGGGTTTGATGTGAAATGCTTAATTCTTCAGAAATGTGCCAAAACAGAATTTGTTTACTGTGATGGTGCAAGGAACCAAACATTTGAAGTGTTTAATGTGTCTAACAGCTACAAGCTAGTTACAGTAAGTTATTACATGAAATGGTTATGAATATACTGCCTGTTGCCTAACACATTATTTCAGAGTAGTTCTGAGATAAGGTTTTGGTTTAATTCATTCATAGTGGAGAGGTATATGCAGGGCATTGTATGGTAAAATAGTCCTTAAAGAAAGCTTTTTTAGATTTACCTCTATATTACCATGATCAACAATACATATGAAAATTCAGAAGACATGTGTAGGTTCACTGGACAGTTTGGAAGGTAAATGAAATGGCTATATTTGTGCTGTATACATCATGACACCTAGTTCCTACCATCACCATTGTAAAGAAATCTGAGTTTCCTTGCAAAACACCATTTCATATCAAACAACTCTGAATGACTTTGTGTACATTTCAACCATTTAATTAGGCAGCAATGTAAAATAATGGGTGGAATTCCCCTTTAATGTACTGTATGGTGTAGAGTGTCTGAAGGGAGACCCAACAAATTTACACTTTGTTACACAACAGTTAAACAGCTGTTAGTGGCCTGCAACACAAAGTCACCTGATGAACACACTGTGACATGCAAAAGAATTATGCCTTCACTGTTAGAAAACCCAAACCCTGATATATGTTCATGCTCATCCTCCACAAGCAAAAGCATCTGCTCACCAGAAACAGAAACTTCTACTTCACTTAAAACTTTAATTGAGCAATGTAATGAGGACAGCTGATGGCAAGTTTGCACATAATACTCAGTGACTTTCTGATTGTGATAAAAACATGACCATTTAGTCCTCAGACACCAAATCTGTCCCAAGTCACGTAACAAGCGCAGATTGTTAAAAACGCATTTGTCAATATGACACTCTATAATCAATGAATGTGAGTGCCGCGTGATGGAGAGCATTTTTAACAGCACATGGATGGATGCTGCTCCGCACATGTGAGCAGGTTGAAGGCCCAGAGGGGAGTGTATGTGTGTGTGTGTACAGAGGGGCACACAGATGTGCCTTGGCCCTGCTTCCCTTAGTTACTACAGGGCATGAGGTCAAGATGGGACAAACCTCTGAGGGCGCACATAAAGACTGAAAAAAGTGCTAGATTGAATTTACTTGGTTCAAATGTTAACCTCATTTCCTCATGACTAAAATATACAGTACTCAAACCCTTCAGTTATTCAATTTCCAGTCAAAATGGCCAGTAAATACGAATTATTCAATTTTCAGTGTCAGGAGAAAAACATATCTTTATCAGTAAATTGCACAAAATTCTGAACAAATAAATATGATCACACATTTTCCAATGTTCAATGCATCCACACTTTGCCTTTATTACAATTTCCATTCTTTGTGCGAAAGTTGCTTTCAGTTTTTCAAAGAAATGAACATGAATATTTTTCCACACCTCCAAAATTCAGCCTTAGAAGTTTGTTGCATTTCATGCTGCTAAGTAATCCCAACACTTTCAATGTGTTCCGAGTCCATTGTGCTGAAAACACCAGCACCTTCTTTGATTTGCAATTTTTGGAAAATTGTTTTTTACAGTGGTAGGATGAACAGAAGCACCTGTGGATTTTTTCAGATCTGAAGAAAGAGTAGGGCCTGATTTTCATCTCTCAAAGATGAAAGCTTTACTGTTTATCTGATGGTGACAGTTTTGTTGGTCTACCAAGTCTTGTATGTTCGCTAAGAGTCCCACCTTCACTCTTAATGACCTTTTAGTAGTCCTGTGCTGGAAACCCCTGTTTTTTTCACTTATTTTCATTTGAATTTAACCCTTTCTTATGCAAATGGTTTATCATGTCTAATCTGCTCAGAAATATATAAAAAATAGATGTAGGATGGTCTCTGACTTGTGCACAGCACTATTACCTTCAAAATTCAAGGTTTTTATTGCCATCCAAGAGTGTTGGTGGTATTTGGATTTACAACCCTGTGTGTGTATTAGTCCACAACAAACATTAAAAAGGCAAACAATAAACAATAATACACATATTTAATACAGTACTCTGCAATAATGTGCAGAAGTCACCCAACAACATTGTTTAACGCTATGTATTTGGCCGTAAGTATGTTTTTGTACAAACATCATATAATTTAAGAATACATAAAAATAAATATAATTACAGTAAATGTAACAAGTGGTACATTTACTGTAATTATATTTAATTGTAATTAACTGTAATTAAGTGGACTCGTGTTACAATTAAATTATAGTCATTTTTTTAGAAAGTTATAGATCTTTTTTAGAAGAATGTAGTTAAAAGAGAGCAAACTTGGTTCCTCACTCCTCCTCTCCAGCCATTGCATTGATTTGTTCAATTCCATTGCCAGCACACTTTATTTAATTTAATTGAACCTGTTAACTGCTGCCCCATTTTTGCATGAAATGGCATACCTAAAGTAAAAGGAGCACTGTTCCCACATACTTTGGGCAACAGTAATGATCTTGGTCTCATTTAAAAGGTAACACTCATGTTTTTTTGCACAACTGTCAGAATAGCTGTATGATTGTATTAGTAATTGTAATTGTATAATTGTATTACTGACACAGAGCAACAGAGGCTAGAATGGAGGAGTTTAGTTCTGCCTGACTCAGATCTCTAAACTGATCTCTGACTCTTGATGTGTTATCAAGACCACATGTTTTGGATTATGATGTTTCTGTGGGTAGCTTTGAAGGTGAGGACCCTCAGATTTGCTAGCATGTGCTTATTCAGTGCTTATGTTGCAAAAAAATTATGAATAAAAAACCAGAAGAAAACGCTTTAACAGCAGTGTGCCAGTACTGGTACAGTAATCTAGATAAGGTTAATGAAGGACTGGTTAGCGAAACTAGGTTCTGGAAAGAAATTACAAATACTGGGCTTCCATGAGGAAGTTTGTAAAAGGTTAAGCTCAAATCGAATTGTATTGTCAATTTCTTTATTTGTTTTCATTCTAATTTTATTGTTTTAGTAAAAGTAATGACAACTGTGCTGATGTAATATATTTTACTCATATGGAAATGATGTATACTTTTGAATCAAATAAATGTAATCCATTATATATTTTTTCACACACACACACTCACACACACATGCATGCATGCATGCACACAGCCCCAGGAGTCATTTCACATGTCCAATCAGAAAGCGACAGGAAGTTGGCAAATGTCTTACTCGCACTCACTCAACAGAAATCTAAACTCAGATGCATCCTCTTGACTCTCTATTAAACAGCAAAGCAAAAGCATAGAAAGTGACAGAGAGAGAGAGAG